ACTGAACTGCCTTTGAATTTTCCTGCTTCATGGAAATGTCTGCTGGATACTATGGGCCTGTAGGCCGAAGATGGATGCCCCAATGGTACAGAGGAACTTTGGGTGACTGTCCAGACAGCGAGATGTCTCTGTCACGTCTAAAGTTTTGGAAGTTTCTTACATGTTTACTTAGGTAATATTATATCCTTCTAGAGTCTTTGATGCAGTTGAAGAATATATAGTTATAGTTTTCCTTAGTTATGATAAAAGATAAGGTAGATATAAATATTGTAACTGTAATTCTTACTTTATAACTGTTTTGTTATATGTAATTTTGCTATGTTAAAGTTAAAGCCTTATTTTTGTTTAAACAGAAAAAGGGGAAATGATGGAGGAAGGTCATTGGTTAAGTAATAAAGAAACTGCTTGGCCTCACAGGTTAAAACATAGGTGGGAGGAGTAAACAGAATAGAATGCTGGGAGGAAGAGGAAGTGAGGTAAGACTCCTCAGACAGAGGCCATGCTCCCCTCTCCCGGGCAGACACCATGAAGCAAGCTGCCAGGTCAGACATGCTGAATCTTTCCCAGTAAGACTGATGCTACACAGATTATTAGAGATGGGTTGATCGGGATATGAGAATTAGCCTGTAAGGGCTAGAGTTAATGGGCCAAGCAGTGTTTAAAAGAATACAGTTTGTGAATACAGTTTGTGTGTTGTTATTTCAGGTAAAGCTAGCCAGTGGCGGGAGCTGGGTGGCGGAATGCAACCCGCAGCTCCCACAACAACTAATGGCTGCTGAGCGAGGGAGAATCAGTTTTGTCCAGAGAGAAGATCTCTTATACACATGTGAATGTGAAGAATACTAAATAGATTATATATATATATACACACACATGTATATATATGTACATATATATGCATATGTATATATTAAAGAAGAGGTCATGAATTTTAGAGAAAGGGGTGGGACATGGAAGGAGTTGGGGTGAGGGTTGAAGATGATGTCAATACTCATCAATGGAATTCTCAAAACAAAAATAAAATAAAAGTGTCCACCCTGTCTTATCTTGTGCTGGCCTCTCACCTAAGAAATTTCCAGGTAATGTTGAAAACCAGTCCTTGAAAGGCTGAGCTCAACAAAATCAAGTGAAGAGGTAGCACTTTCTGCATTAAATAGAGGAATCTTCTGCCTTCCCTACCCCACTGAAGTTAAGACGAATAACTCAAGCTGCAAAAGATAAAATAGAAAGGAATCTACCTAGTCTGACCCAATCAAATTGGTGTCAGCCAGTAGGAAAGGAGAAAATAAAATGCCTTAAAGGGGAGTGACTGAAAAACCCAAAGCCAGCACTGCCTAAGAAGAGAGCACTTCGTGGGGCGCTAAGATGCCAGAGCCCACAGAACTGCCAGACACACAGCAAACTTCCAGCAGAGGCCAAATGAATAAACTTCTATGCTGCCAGGGTATTCTCACTTTCACAAATCCCCTGTGCCACGTGATCCCTTGCATTGCCAGGGACTGAAGAAAGCTCTAAACCTGAGCGGGGCAAAGTAGTGTGGGAAAGGTCTGTTGGCCTCCAGGCAAAACCAATGTTCCAGGGCAAAGGTGAGGTGCCAGCGACAACAGTTGTAGCATTCAAAGGCTGCAGTAGCCAACACCAGCCAGGTTAAAAAAAAAAAAAAAAAAAAAAAAAAACAGCAGTTGGGTAGACTTCCAGCTTCCAGACCATCGCAGAAGCATGACCCAAGCACGTTCATCTTTATAGTAGAGAAGAGAAATGAGGACTTGGATGAAATCTGTGCGGAGTGTGAGAGACAGACTCCACCCACCCAACAGACGCTGTGGGAGTCTTTTCAATCCCTTAGCTCTATGTCTCTACCTGTGTACATCAAATTTTCTAAGCCAGTGGGTCTCCAAGTGCCTTCTAAACTCAGGAATCTATGATTTGCCAAAGGTTACCCACTGGATGAAATGGATCCCATGCCTGAGTCAACACCAAATACTTCATTTTCAACCATGAGGGAAAAAATCCTAAAACCAAACAAAATTGATGGCAAACTGATCCCAACCCAGGGAATTATTAATAGTTCCTCCAGCTTCAAAAGTTCTTGGAACCTAGTAGTACATTGGCTTTTTTCATGTGGATGAACAGAATTGGGCTGTTTTGTGTGTGACCAACAGAACCTTTCTGTAGTGAAGACAGATCATGCCAAGAGAAGTAGTTCAGGGATTGGGTACAAAACAAAGATGAGGTGCCAGGTGTGAGAGGAATATTCCAGGATGTTATGTGAACTATGAAAGCACTACCCCACCCCCATCTCCCAGGAGCATGGAACAACCTCTCTCCCCTGAAACCCATTTAAGCACTACCCACCAGGTTAAGCTATGAGGGCTACACAACATGCTTTTGCCACAGAGCTATTCTGTCTTTGTGTAATAAGAATGCCAAGACAGCACACTTCATGCTGGTCAGATACACAGCTCAAGATAGCGTCTTGTAGGATTAATGAAGAAGGTACTTGTATCGTGCCAATAATATCAATTGTTACAAATCTCCTAGGCTATGAAAAACTCGTCCATTTCTAAGTTCAATGTAGTTATACAGCTCATTGACCAACTGAAAAACTTCATCCTGGTTTGGTTCAGTCTGTTGGGTCCCAATGCAGAAGCTTAGGTAAAGCAGTGGACTTCTGGGAATTTTATTGAGCAGTTCAGCAAGGTCTCACCTACCCCAGTTCTGTGGTCCATGAGGCCATCAAATAACCTGCTCTCAGGTCTCTGGCTGGAGAGAGTGGGGTAGAAGGGAATTACCTCATGATCTGCTAAGGTGCCCTTAGACCCAGGACAGCTTGTAGGTACATTTTCCCCAAGGCTCTGCCACGTCTTTATAACGAGCCCTTTCATTTAACTCTTTCTTCTTCAACCATCCAGACTGAATGAGATTTCTAATCCAGGATCTTGGTTGTTTCTATAGCTACATAAACTCCCACTTGTGAGATATGTGAGAATACTAGAAAATCTCAGGAAAATACAAATAGACAACAGATGATGTGAGATGGGGAAGTTCAGATACCAAAATACGGATTCTCTATCTATCAGGCATGCTGTCCTCCTGTGTTGGTTAAACTACATATAAAGAGTAAATAAGACGGCACTTAAGCAGACACGGATGAAAAGAGTATTCCAGAAAAAAAAAAAAAGGCAGATACAAAAGCCCAAGTTTGAGGTCAAGTAAGAATTACTGTTTTAAAAACAGTTAAAGAGGATGGGCCGCATTTGTTCCCTTTCCTTGCAGAAGAATCTCAACCTTCGAGATTACCCTCAGAGTTTCCCTGCTGCCCAGCCCCCCCCCCCCCCTTACAAAATACCCTCGCTCCATTTCCTGGCTCCCGCCACGAGCCAAGATCCCTCTCACCACTCAGAAGGGTCTTCAGGACCAGGACCAGGCTCCCTGTTCACCAGGGACCTCACCAACAAAAGGCCTACCACTCTGCAGGCCAGCCATCAAAACAGAGAAACTTCCTCTGCCCTCTGCTCTGAGCTCCCGACCCAGTGCCCAAACAGGCTAAACTGGGTGATCCTGGAGCCCAGCGGAAGGGAGGGGGAGTGAAGGAGGCCCCTGGGCACAAGCTGGGATGGGCCAGGGAGAGAAAGGTCACAACAGAAGAGGAGCAGCCACTGCAGAGTGTACCATCCATCGCAGACTTACGGGAGGGGGGAGGATTAAGGGGGTCAGAGAATGCCCCTGCTCCATTTCCTGTGTCCCACCTCAGGCCAAGAACACTCTCTCAACTCAGGAGCCTCTTCAGGGACAGGACAAGGCTCCCCATACACCAGGGACCTGGCCAATAAAAGGCCTACCACTCTGCAGCCCAGGACCCCAAAAAACCTACTTGATTTAATTGTAGTGGGGCGATCTGCTCTCAGTGTGGGCTTCACTGTTTCATGCTTGGACTATCCTGCATCTGCCGCATCTGCGCGCCAGTCTCCGCTGCTTGGGAAGTGTTTTTAAATCCATGAGGAGTTGTAACGGTGAATATAATCAAAAAACTGTGTTGAGATTCTCAAAGGCATGGTTTTTAATGAGGAACAAAAATGGAAAGAAGATAGATCCACCTTCTTTATTGCATTATATCAATGTCCAATATTTTGATCTGAGTTATAACTCATTATCTGTTTATGAATGCTAAAAGTCATAAATTATAACATTGCCATTTATTTGTACATTTTATTAATTATATTTTAATATATTCTCAGAATTTTAGTATCAGATATTAAAATAGAACAAAAACAAAGACTTAGCATTTTTAAACTTTATTTTCTGTGCTGAGATGTGATTTAGTGGTAAGAGCACTGGCTACTCTTACAAGTGACCAAATTTGAGTTTCCAGCATCACATGGTGGCTCACAATGATCTGTTACTCCAGAACCAGGGAATCCAATGCCTTCTGACCTTCATGGTACAGGGCACATGTGCAGTACACTTACACACTTGCAAGAAAAAAAACTCATACACAGAAATATTTTTTTAAAAAATAATTTACTAAAGTCGTGCCTCTTTCCAGCATAACATATGCTGATTAACTCGACCATATAATAATTTCCCACCTTATAGATTTGGCTCTTACATTTGGTATGATAAGCAAGGATAACTTGTGAACCCTGGGCTTCTGAATGGCAAGGTGGAGCAGAGCCCTCGAAGACCCATATGGTTTCCACGAAGAGCACAAAGTTGAGTGTTAAGACGCTGATAAATTTTTCTTTATAATATTTTAATTTTATTTAAAAAGGCTAAACATATTCACTTGTCAATTTTTCTACAACTCTAAGACAATAGTTTTAAAAACATAAAGTTAAAAATACACTCAAGAGGAACTGCTGATACACAGTTCTGAAAAGGCAGAAAATGCACCTTCCTTTTACAGAAAAGGATAAATCTGTATTAGCAGCAAATTTTATACATAGAAGTAAAACTGGCTTGGAAAATCCAGATTTGTGTAAACATAAAACACATTCCTTTCATTTGTTAGGAAATCCAGAGCAGCCCCATTCACTCTGGAAGGCTTCTTTCCACCATGGTTGTCCAGTTGGCAGCTCATTTGGGTCCACATCACGCTTGGGCTCTCGGCCAAGACTTATGTCCAACACCAGGCCAGAGAGGATGTTTAGGTTCTTTCAGAATTGGCTGAGCTACCATGATCTTGCTAATCTTCTGTTTTTGCTTAGAATCATGGAAGATCTTCAGCGGGGCCTCCCTCAGCTTGCTGGTCTCTGCAGAATATCTCTGTGCTGGCATGAGATGTTTTTTCTCTCCACCCAGAATGCTGGCCAGGGATGTGAAGTGGGGCTGCTGAGGGGGCCAAGGGCCTGAAGAGGCTCCCAGGTTCCCAGATGGAGGCTGGTGCCTGGTGTTGGCTACTTGGTTTTTACGGCTCTGGGAAAACCAGTCCACATTTGGCAGGGCACTGAGTAGAGGCTGCGTGTCTCTAACAGAGCCCTCCTTTCCAAGGAATTCACCTAGCCGAGGCCCCTTTCTTCCCAGAGGGTCATCGGGAACCATAAATATGTCCCCCACGAACGTGTATTGTAGCCATCTTTTAGCTATAATTTCTCTCCAGGACACTGACTCAGTCACAAACTTTCTGAAGTTATCATTGCTTACAATCACACCCCCAGTCTTCTCTGCTTCGTATAGTAGGAACCTGTCATCATGAGAAGCAATTCGTTCTCCAAAGGCCCTCCTGGAAGGAGTTAAAAATAACAATCCAAGCTCCTGGAGCTGGGTCAGGAAGTGCTCTTCTGTGACATTAGGGTTGCACCTTGTTCTCCACTGAGGCACAAACACAGTGATGTTCCTGTGTCCAAGCTCCCAAAAATATTCAACGGCGATTGCTATTCCTCGACAACTAAAAAACTTGTTCAGACCATGGCTTAATGCGACATTACATCCATCTATAACAATATGCTTTAAATCGGCTCTGCCGGGTTCATTTTTTAATTCCAGCTTGTATGGTATTTTCAGCATCTCGCTAAATCTCTTAACCCCCGTAACTAGGGATTTAGTTTGATGCCCAGACTTAGCTCCAACATTGGACCTGAAAGAATGTTCCTGTTCATTCAGAATTGGCTGAGCTACCATGATCTCATCGATCTTCTGTCTTTGCTCAGAATCAGGGAAGATCTTCAGCGGGGCCTCCCTCAGCTCACTGGTCTCTGCAGAATATCTCTGTGCTGCCATGAGATGTTTCTTCTCTCTACCGGGAATGCTGGCCAGGGATGTGAAGTGGGGCTGCTGAGGGGGCCAAGGACCTGAAGAGGCTCCCAGGTTCCCAGATGGAGGCTGGTGCCTGGTGTTGGCTACTTGGTTTTTACGGCTCCGGGAAAACCAGCCCACATTTGGCAGGGCACTGAGTAGAGGCTGCGTGTCTCTAACAGAGCCCTCCTTTCGAAGGAATTCATCTAGCCGAGGCCCCTTTCTTCCCAAAGGGTCATTGGGAACCATAAATATGTCTCCCACAAAAGTGTATTGAAGTAACCTTTTGGAATGTATTTCTCTCCAGGACATTGACTCATTCACAAACTCTCTGAAGTTATCTTTGCTTACAATGACACCCCCAGTCTTGTCTGCTAAGTGTAGTTGGAACCTGTCATCATGAGAGGCAATATGTTCTCCAAACATCGTCCTGGAAGGAGTTAGTGCTAGTATTCCAAGCTCCTCGAGCTGGGTCAAAAAGTGCGGTTCTGTGACTTTAGGAGTGTGCCTTGCTCTCCACTGAGGCAAAAACACTGTGATACCCCTGTGTCCACGTTCCCAAAAATATTCAACGGCAATTGCTATTCCTCGACAACTAAAAAACTTTTTCAGACCATGGCTTAATGCGACATTACATCCATCTATAACAATATGCTTTAAATCGGCTCTGCCGGGTTCATCTATTAATTCCAGCTTGTATGGTATTTTCAGCATCTCTCTAAATCTCTGAATTCCCGTAACTAGGGATTTAGTTTGATGCCCAGACTTAGGTCCAACATTAGACCTGAAAGAATGTCCACATTCATTCAGAATTGGCTGAGCTACCATGATCTCATCGATCTTCAGTCTTTGCTCAGAATCAGGGAAGATCTTCAGCGGGGCCTCCCTCAGCTCACTGATCTCTGCAGAATATCTCTGTGCTGCCATGAGATGTTTCTTCTCTCTACCCGGAATGCTGGCCAGGGATGTGAAGTGGGGCTGCTGAGGGGGCCAAGGGCCTGAAGAGGCTCTCAGGTTCCCATATTGAGGCTGGTGCCTGGTGTTAGCTACTTGGGTGTTTTGATTCCGGGAAAACCAGTCCACATTTGGCAGGGCACTGAGTAGAGGCTGCGTGTCTCTAACAGATCCCTCCTTTCGAAGGAATTCATCTAGCCGAGGCCCCTTTCTTCCCAGAGGGTTATCGGGAACCATAAATACGTCTCCCACAAACCTGTGCTGAAGCAATCTTTTAGAAATAGATTCTCTCCAGGACACTGACTTATTCACAAACTTTCTGAAGTTATTATTGCTTACAAGGACACCCCCTGTCTTCTCTGCTAATTGTAGTAGGAACATGTCAACATGAGAGACAATTCGTTCTCCAAACACCATCCTGGAAGGAGTTAGTGCTAGTATTCCAAGCTCCTCGAGCTGGGTCAAGAAGTGCTGTTCTGTGACATTAGGACTGCACCTTGTTCTCCACTGAGGCACAAAAACTGTGATGTTCCTGTGTCCAAGCTTCCAAAAATATTCAACGGCAATCACTATCCCACGACAACTATAAAACTTTTTCATGCCATGGGTAAATGCAACATTACATCCATCTATAACAATATGCTTTAAATCGGCTCTGCCGGGTTCATTTTCTAATTCCAGCTTGAATGGTATTTTCAGCATCTCGCTAAATCTCTGAGGCCCCATAACTAGGGATTCAGTTTGATGCCCAGACGTAGGTCCAACATCACACCTGTAAGAACGTTCACATTCATTCAGAATTGGCTGAGCTACCATGATCTCATCGATCTTCTGTTTTTGCTCAGAATCAGGGAGGATCTTCAGCAAGGCCTCCTTCAGTTCACTGGTCTCAGCAGAATATCTCTGTGCTGGCATAAGACCATTCTCCATTATACCCGGAATGCTGACCAGGGATGTGAAGTGGGGCTGCTGAGGTAGGAACGTGGCGACATTTGGTAGGGCATTGAGTAATGGCTTCTTGTCTCCAGAAAGCCCTCCTTTCCAAGAAATTCTTCTCGCCTAGGCCCATTTCTTCCCAGCGGGTCATCTGGAACCATAAATATGTCCCCCACGAACATGTACTGAAGCAAGCTTTTGGCAATTATTTCTCTCCAGGACACTGACTCAGTCACAAACTCTCTGAAGTTATTATTCCTTACAAGGACACCCCCAGTCTGGTCCGCTAATTGTAGTAGGAACCTGTCAACATGAGAAGAAATTCGTTCTCCAAAGGCCCTCCTGGAAGGAGTTAAAAATAACAATCGAAGCTCTTGGAGTTCGGTCAAGAAATGCTGTTCTGTGACATTAGGATCGCGCCTTGTTCTCCACTGAGGCACAAACACAGTGATGTTCCTGTGTCCAAACTTCCAAAATTATTCAACGGCAATTGCTATCCCACGGTAACTAAAGAACTTTTTCAGACCATGGGTAATTGGGGTTCAACCTGAAGGTCTAACAAGTAAGGCAGCCAGCCAGTCACTGGCTCTTACCCGGACCTCAGTCTGAAATGGCGATTATGCCTCCAGGAACATCAGCATGAGACTGTGTATCAGAGCTGTTTCCCCTGTCTTATATTCCTCTCTAGTGCTGGGAATAAGGGCGTGTACTACAGTGATTAAAGGCTTGTCCCACCTGATTTCTTTGCTAACAAGTGTGGCTACTGGGATTAAACCTGTGTGTCATTGTGTTACTGGGATTAAAGGTGTGTGTTACCATAATCTGGTCTGGAAGGTTGACCAGTGGGACCATTTTACTCTCAGAAGAGATAGGAAAAGATACAGTCATCAAAAGAAAATTTCACCAAGATGACATTTTAATTCTTACCATCTGTGCCTCAAACACAAGGAAACCCATATCGGTAATAGAAAAAATAATGGAGCTCAATCACATATTGACCCTCACACATTGACAGTGGGAACCATCAATACCCCTCGCTCACCAATAAATCACCATTTAGATTTAAATAAATAGATACATACATAGATAAATCAATTGATAGATAGATAGATGATAGATGGATAGATAGATAGACAGACAGACAGACAGATAGATAGATGATAAAAGAAATAAAACATGAAATAGCTTACAAACTCATGAAATTGAACATCTCTCTACTGAATGAATAATGAATTGAGAAAGAAATAAATTTAAAAAAATTGAAGACTTTCTAAAATGGAAGGTAAATGAACAACCAAAGTGTGAAAAACAGTAAGAGTAGTTCTAAAAATTTACAAGTTCATAGCAAGCCGGGCGGTGGTGGCACACGCCTTTAATCCCAGCACTCGGGAGGCAGAGGCAGGCAGATCTCTGTGAGTTCGAGACCGGGCTGGTCTACAAGAGCTAGTTCCAGGACAGGCTCCAAAACCATAGAGAAACCCTGTCTCGAAAAACAAACAACAACAACAAAAAAAACAAAATTCATAGCAATAGGGACCACATAATAACACTGGAGAGATCTCATATTAGCAACTTTATAGAAAAACTGAAACCTCTCAAACAAAATGAAGAAATCACATTCAAAAGGAGTAGATCAAAAGAAATAATCAAATCCAAGTCTGCAATCAACAAAATAGAAACAAAGAAAACAATAGGGCCAATGAAACAAAGATTTGGTTCTTTGAGAAAATCAACAAGATAGGCAAACCCTTATCCATATTAACTCAAGAGAAGAGAGAGAATATCCAAACAAAAAAAATCAGAAAGGAAAAGGGGTTTATAACAGACACCAAAGAATTCCAGAGGACCAAATACAGAGGGCATACTTTCAAAACCTGTACTCTATCAATTTTGAAAATCTAAAAGCAAGGTGAACCTAAGTAATAAAATCTCAAGGTCAGAAATTGGGGTTCAACCTGAATATGCAAAAATCAGAGCAGCCAGCCAGCCACTGGCTCTTACCTCGACCTCAGTCTGGAAATGGCAATCGTGCCTACAGGAACCTCAGCATGAGACTGGGTGTTGAGAGCTGTTTCTTCCTGGCTCATATTTCTTTATAGGGATAGGAAAAAGTTGCTGCACCACTGTGATTAAAGGCATTACCACCTGTTATCTATGCCAACTCTGTGGCTACCTACTTTCATTGTGCATATTTGTTTGAGACTCCTAGGATTACAGGTGTGTGTCATTGTGGATACTGGTTTTAAACATATGTGTTACCATAACCAGTTCTGTAAGACTGACCAATGGGACTATTTTACTCTCAGATTTCTAGGCAGTTTTTCTTTCTTAAATACAGTTGAAATGCTACTTCAGAAAGGGATAATTTTCTCAGTAGATACAACCTTATAAAATTAAATCATGATCAGGAAAGCATTTTTGCACAGACCTATAACCCTGTGAAATAGATTAATAAATAAAAGATAAATAAATAAATAAAAGTCTCCCACCCAGGAAAAGAAAGAAAGAAAGGCAGAAAGGCAGAAAGGCAGAAAGGCAGAAAGGCAGAAAGGCAGAAAGGCAGAAAGGCAGAAAGGCAGAAAGGCAGAAAGGCAGAAAGGCAGAAAGGCAGAAAGGCAGAAAGGCAGAAAGGCAGAAAGGCAGAAAGGCAGAAAGGCAGAAAGGCAGAAAGGCAGAAAGGCAGAAAGGCAGAAAGGCAGAAAGGCAGAAAGGCAGAAAGGCAGAAAGGCAGAAAGGCAGAAAGGCAGAAAGGCAGAAAGGCAGAAAGGCAGAAAGGCAGAAAGGCAGAAAGGCAGAAAGGCAGAAAGGCAGAAAGGCAGAAAGGCAGAAAGGCAGAAAGGCAGAAAGGCAGAAAGGCAGAAAGGCAGAAAGGCAGAAAGGCAGAAAGGCAGAAAGGCAGAAAGGCAGAAAGGCAGAAAGGCAGAAAGGCAGAAAGGCAGAAAGGCAGAAAGGCAGAAAGGCAGAAAGGCAGAAAGGCAGAAAGGCAGAAAGGCAGAAAGGCAGAAAGGCAGAAAGGCAGAAAGGCAGAAAGGCAGAAAGGCAGAAAGGCAGAAAGGCAGAAAGGCAGAAAGGCAGAAAGGCAGAAAGGCAGAAAGGCAGAAAGGCAGAAAGGCAGAAAGGCAGAAAGGCAGAAAGGCAGAAAGGCAGAAAGGAAGAAAGAAAGGAAGGAAGGAAGGAAGGAAGGAAGGAAGAAAGAAAGAAAGAAAGAAAGAAAGAAAGAAAGAAAGAAAGAAAGAAAGAAAGAAATGAGGGCAGCACAGAATTCTTCCAGACTTTCAAGGAAGACTTAGCAATGGTTCTCTTAAAATTACTACACAAAAGAGAAACAGTTTGTTTTTATGTTCTTAAAACATCGCTCAGTTTGTTTTATGGTGTCACAGTCATTCTAATACCCAAACCACATAAAGACTCACAGAAAGAAAAGAAAATTTTGGAAATATTTCCACTACATAAATTGATGCAAAAATTCCCAATAAAATATTTTCAAACTGAATCTAAGAACACATCAAAAGACCATTCACTATTATCAAATAATCTTCATGCCAGAGACTCAAGATTGGATCAGTGTAAGAAAATCAGTAAATAGAATTCACCATCTAAACAAACTGAAAGAAAAAACCCCACATGATCATATCTCTTGATGCAGAAATGGCCTTTAACAAAATCCAACACACCTTCATGATAAATCCTGGAGAGATTCGAGATAAAAGGGATATGCCTTTACATAATAAAGGCAGTCTCCTGCAAGCCCATAGCTAAAATCAAATTAAATGGAGAGCGAATTTAATAAAAGGAATTCCACTAAAGTCAGAAAAAAAGGCATGGTTGTCCACTCTTTACATATTATTCAATATAGTATTTGAAGTGTTAACTGGAACAATGAGACAAACAATGGGGATGAAGGGTAAACAGATTGTAAATGAAGAAGTCCTTGTATTTTAATTTAAGAAATAATATAATAGTATAGGTAAGTGTCCCTAAAAATTCCACTAGGAAATTTCTACAACTGATAAAAACTTTCAGCAAACTGGCTGGACACAAAATTAACACACAATAATCAACAACTGTTGACTGAGGTTTCTGTCCCACCTGATCCCTCAGCTGAGTCCCAAAGAAACACACAGACGACTACATGAATTATAAACTGCTTGCCCTTTTACCTCAGGCTTCTTATTAACTCTTATAATTTACATTAACCCATCATGCTTTTCTGTGTTAGCCACAGGGCTTGGTACTTTTTCAGTGAGGCATTCTCATCTTGCTTCCTCTGTGTCTGGGTGATGACTGCAGACTGAACCTTTCTTTTTCCCAGAGTTCTCTTGTTCTCATCACACCACCTATACTTCCTGCCTGCCTACTTAACAATCAGGGTTTTATTAAAATAATACAAGTTACAAATCTTTACAGGGTACAAGATATTGTCCCATAGGAGTTCCCCCTTCTTTTCAAAACAAAAACTCAGAATACAATTTCCTTTGTTTAGCTTTTTTCCTGGTCATTATTCACAACAATGTGTAACCAACACACTAAACAAAAAAAAAAAACCAAATCTATAATCCATTTAGGGTAATGTTTGTGTAGAATTCTGGGCTACTTCTTGCTGATTGGGGGAACTGAAATTTTATGGGGACCTAAAAAAATTAGAATTATGGTCAACCTGACTGGAATATTCTGTGAGGCTTGATCATCTCAGCCAGCAATCTTAAAGCTGTTCTGGATGTTGAACTCAGACATCTGGGCCATCAGTTCTTATCCAATATTTCTCAGGAGGTCTTCCTTGATTAAACATGATTTCTCTTAATCAAGAATGATCCATACACTCTCATTTTCTGTAGAAACAAAAGCAAAACCTCTACTCCAAAGTAACATGTCTTTTGACTTAAAGTTTGAAATCAAAGTGTTTTCAAAATATATTTGTTGGATGAATCCAGCAACATGTAAAAGCAAATGTCTTTTAGCAGGTGCTGCTTCTTTTTCAACGATCAAGCAATTCAAAGACAACACAATAACATACAGTATCCAGATTCTCTGTGTAGTTTCCATCTATAT